ACAAAGAGAGGGTATTAGGTTACTAAGGCTCAGTTTGGTAGAGTGAAAATGGGAGGAAAGGAAAGGGAATGTGATGGAAGGTGATTAAAAAATTGTGTTTGGGTAACATTGGTGGAAGGAAAGGAAAAGAGAGGGGAGGGTTTGGAGGGTTAACACAAGGCTTCTACAGTAGAGTTCTTAACCTCCCAAAAATGGGCGGAAACGGAAGGAAAGGGAAGGAGAGGCTTGGTGGGTGATTTCTTATGCCAAAATTACCCTTGATTACACACAAAACCCATATGTACAAACCCTTCCCAATTGCAGAGAGAGAGAGAGAGGGGGGCAAGCTCGAGAGTTGAGAGAAAGAGGGCCGGCTGAAGCTTGCGAACGGCGAACCCGAATTGGAAAGGCAATGGAAACTGAAAGATCTATATGGCTGAAATTGGGTTTTGATTTTTTGAACAATTTGAAATGATGCCGATATGGGTTTTGTAGTTTTGATTCTTGCAGACAAATATATAAATTGAAATATATGGGTTTTGAACTTCTGATTCTTGTATTTGCATTGCAGAGAGAGAGAGAGAGAGAGGGCAAGTTCAGAGTTGAGGACGAGAATAGAGATGGAGGCAGGGAGGCTAAAATGATTTGCCCTAAAAATATTATATATATATATATATATATATATATATATATATATATATTACATACGGTTTGTTATATGGTTTTTTTTTTTTTTTTTTTTTTTTCAAATATTACATACTTAAATTTATAAATATTTCTTTTAAAAATTAAAAAGGTATAATAGTAAATTTACTAAAATACTTCTCTTTTCTTTATTTTCCCAAACATGATCATTATACTTTCATTTCTTTTTCTTCATTAACCAACCAAACATGACAGGGGGTTAAATTTATCCTTCATTTCCCTTCCCTTTCCTTTCCTTTATAACTAATATTATCCTCCCCTTCAAACCCACCTTACCAAATATAGCCTAAGAGAGGTAATATTTATAGACGGGTATTAGAAATGGAAATGGATCTGTGATTGATATGAAATCCTACTGTTATCATTTTAAACTAAATGTATATCAAATCAAATTTACCTTAATAATCAGTGTTATTCAACGAATTTTTCACCATAAAATAAACTTTGATCCTGTTGGAGTTTTATTCATTCAAGCAGTAGATTAGATAACAACACTTCTTCTACTGTGCTAGAAATACCAGAAGTACTGTGCTAGAAATACCTTCTGTATCCTATCCAATTGTATGTTAAAATAACAGCATCACTAAAAATATAATAAACGTAAAAATAGATAAATTATAGGAAACTACATATAGTAGACTTAGTCGCACTTTAATTTTTATTTACTTTCTTCATAACTCTGTCTGGTCTAAATTTTCAGGACTTGAGCAATTATTTTTATAATTAGAGTTGTGTTTGGTTTTAAAAAATTTTAAGTTAGAACTTATTTAAGGTTGAACTTGGAATGAGGATCTAGCAACCTGAATCCAATTCGAGCCCAAATTTTAATATTATTTTAATATATATTTTATTTTAAATAAATTACATATTATATTCAAATTATGATCACAATTCTTTTTTTAAATTTAAATTTATTATTTATAATTTATTAAAAATTTACAATAAGTTTTATAAACTTTTATGTTTAGAAGTAATTTATTTTGAAACAACATCTAGATCACATTAAAATTTATGGTCACATGGGTAACCAAATTAACTGAACTTTTTAGCCCGCAATCTCTCCCCGAGTTACAAATTTGAGTTTAAAAATACAAGAATGAGTTTGGTTTGGGTAGAGCAATTAGTGTTGAAAGTCTGATTATGATTGAATTATAGTTGAACATTTCAGATGCAGGGATGAATTAGAGGTAACATTTCATATGTCGAGTTGGGCACGTACCTTTAACACGCGGTCTGCGGAGCCCTAATTTTCTTTACCAACAAAGAAAATAAAAACGAAATATAAAAGTACAAAAAAATTACATGGTATTCACGTTAGACTTTCATTCAAGACCGCAATCTACTCGTCCAAACATGCTTTTTTAATATATATATATATATTTCTTTTCTTTTTTTTTTTAACTGCGCCATGCATGTTCAAGATAACTCCCTTGAAAAAAAATTTGTGCATAAAATCATTTCAACTATCACATTTAGTTGCAAAATGCCCATTACCTTAGACTATTTTAATTAAATGACCACAATACTCTTTCTTATTGAATTACACTTGATCTATTTCTCTTGTTGAAATAAATTATGAAAAAAAAAAATACTAATTTGATGAAATATTCTCCATTAAGTTTGCATTATTTTTCCTTCAATTTTGGAATTAATTATTTAAATAAAAATCTTAAGTAGAAAATTTTAAAATAATTTAAGTAATTTTTTTTTTAATTTTTCATGAATATATTGCATAAAAAAGAAGATATATTTTTTATTTATTTAAGTAATTTATTAAATTTTCATGAATATTGTATGAAAAAGAATGTATTTTTTTTACACTAATTTTTTTTTAAAGTGAATATAATAAGTTTTATTATAATAAGTTACTCATTTTAGAAAATGGTAGCTACTAATCTATTTGTTATCTTTCATTTTTATGATAAATTGAAACTAATTATAAAATTAAGGTAAATGTATAATTAATTTTTAAATAAGAGAAAATATAAGAAAAGATAATTTAATAAGAAATGACAATTTTAATAAGAAAGGGTAAAATAGTTTTTTACGATGAATTTGTCCATATTTGCAATAAATTAATAGTTCAGATGAGGTATTTGCAAAAGGGCAATAGTCCATAGAGTTTTTTGCACTTTACCTTATAGATTAAAAATACCTAAAACAACTTAAAAACATTTAATATTAACCTACTCTATTAATATTCAGAGAAAAGTTTAAAATTATAAAGACCATTGTAGGGATGGCAACGGGGGCGGGTTTGGGCGGGTGTATCCTCCCCCGCCTCCGCAACAGTTTAAAAATCCCGCCCCCATCCCCGCCCAAAACCGCAAAAACGGGAGGACTTTTCACCCCATCCCCGTAACCGTTTAACATTTTTACCCCCGCGGGTACCCGCCCTGCCCTGTTTAAGACCATAATTTATTTATTGTAGAAATAAATTTATTATTTTTTTCCCCTCATCTTTAGTTCTTCACTATTGCAACTTTCTTTCTGATCAAATTCATTTGTTACTTTAATATTATTATATAGGGTACTTAATATATATACTGGGAAATATATATACTAATGAAATAAGGGTACTTAAGTAATTTGCTTATCTAAACAGGGCGGGGTGGGGCGGTGCGGGGCGACCTCACCCCGCCCCTGCACCAAACCCGTGCGAATTTTTATTACATCAAACCATTCCCGCCCAAATAAGCTAAACGGTCCCCCATAACCGTCAAAAACGAGCCGGGGTGGGGGCGGGTCAAATTGCCATCCCTAGACCATTGTTTAGTTTTGCATTTTTTAGATGTGAAAATTTAAGTAATAAAAGACCTAACATTTTGGATATTATTTATGTTCAAAGCAAGTTTAATTTAATTATCTACTCTCAAAGTATGCAATGTTCAACTTAGTTTTTGAAATAACTATTTTTTTAAAAAAAATTGTAAATCAAACCAATTTTTTTATCGATAAAAATTAATATATAAAATCAAAAACAATTGTACAAATAATATATGGCATAACTTATAGGCATACTAAGGGTCTTATAGTCTAATGGTATTTTATTATTTTTTAAAATAGAAGGTCGAGATTCAAGTCCTCACACCAACAAAAGTGAATAGATAAGTGTTTCTTGTCAATGAAAAAAATATATATATTGAAAGACGGCGAACAAATATGACTACATGACTAAACATCAAAAGCACGTCAAACAAGGCCATGGCCCAAAACCAAACCAACTAACCTATGCAGTGGCTGAAAGAGAGGAACATATTCTTCTCCACGCGAGACCGAATTGAATCAATAATGGGGTTCAGAACTCTAGACAGTTGGGATTTAATGACCTTTTGGTTTGTCACTCAAAAAATGAAAAATTATTTTGAGAGAAATATAAAAGTGAGCTATCTAAAAGCAAACATTTTTTTAATTAAGTTTTCAAAAACTAAGCAAATTTTTGTATAATTTTTCGATTTTCATTTCTCAAAAAATAAACCAAGTAGGCCCTAACTTTCTTTAGGGGCACTTGCGGATTAGTTAGGTTAGCTCAACTGCTTAAGTAGTTCAACCACACTATTTGCACAACTATTTAAGCCTTGATTAAGCCCAACCTCGGATTAGAGAAGGTTAGCACGAGGGTTGATCATCGTTGATGTTAGATGTATTCTACATCAGATTCGAATGGGAAGCGAATTGAGTATAAATGGATATGTATGCAACACTAAAGCAAACGTCCATCCGTTACCATTAGGTCTGGTCTTTAATTCAGTGTCATGGCAAATATCTCACCCAAAGGTGTCTGGGTCCGTTACCCTGAATAAGCAGGGTGACCCGACTATAACGAGAGCATTACAAGTTTGAGTACTTAATAATTTAAGTTTTTGGATCGGATTCTTTAATGAAAATTAAAAAATCAATACATGCCATTATGATAGAGTCTTGAATAAGTATGTATTTAATTAAGAGCTTTAATTAATCTACAAACAAACTATGTTTTTTGAAATTTCTTCAAACAAGCTTGAAGAGGACAAAAACACGAGATGGACCCAAACTCCACCCTAATCCAGAAGCAACCTAATCTAAGCCCACCTCTAACTCGGATTGGGTCGGCCTTGGCCCAACTGACTTGCACCTAGCTCCATCCCATGTGTGATGTCGGTGGTGAAGAGCGTACCCCTTCTAGGCTATGCCACGCAAGTCACAATTTTTAACCGTTAATCAGACAAACGCGACTTTACATCTTTATTTAGATCGAACGGTCACTATTCAGTAGCCGTTATTTTCAAAACACATTACTTACATGTCCCCGATTTTTCCGTTTTATTTTCCAGGTGACTTTCATTCCCAATTCAATTTCTTTCTTTGTTATTAAATCATCCATCAAATCGCAGAAAAGAACCAGAAATAGAGAGAGAGATTTGGAGATAAATGCGTCCAATTCTGCTTTAATTTCATGAGTTGCCTTTCTTTTTCGATTTGGAGTTCGAAGCTTCACACCTTCGATCCATTTGATTCAGAGAGACAACAAGCATAAAACAGAGGTAGTTGTTTTCTTTTTCATTAATTGGTGCTGCGTTACGTTTATATGATCTTGGTTATGTTGCTCATCATCCTCATCTCTCTCTCTCTCTCTCTCTCTCTCTATATATATATATATATATATATATATATAAATGTAGACCCCTAAAAAATTTATGCATAACTGATATTCTTGGTCTTTTAAAGGTTTCGTGGAATTGGGTTTGGGTTTCTTGTAGGTTGGTCTTGAAGGAAATTAAAATGGGTGGATCACTTGAGAACAATCCAGTTATCAACAGACCATCACATCTTCAAGGTAGTCTAATTTCAACATGAATTTTCTTCCCAATTTCTCTTTCTTTTCTGAAGATTTGGTTGTGTACTCCATATCAAATGTAGTTTATTTAGCTGCCGAACTTCATACTTAAAGACTTAAGACTCTTTTTTTTTCTTTCTGTTGAATTCAAAAGGAGGTTTGAGAATGGGTGCCAAGTTTCCCCAGCAGAGTACTACTCAAAATCATCGACAGGCTCTGAGCAACATAGATCAGAATATAATAGGAGCTACCCTTTGCCCTTCTCTACTCAACAAAACTGGATTCTTAGGGTAATTTCTATTATACTGATCTGAGGTTTATCTTAGGATTTTGTTTCATTACAACCACTTTTTTTAATTTTTTTATAGTCTTTTTCAATTTCTGTGATTTATTTGAATTTTATTTGTGTGCAGGAAAGTTGAGAACTGCAACAAGAACACATCAGTATCTGCATATGGGTCGATTAAAAGGTTTTGGATTCAATATTTTTTCTTGATTCCCACTTCTTCCTCTTTTAAAATTAAGTTTGACCTTCTTTGATGTTTCTTTAGGAAGTTTGCAGCACAATTGATGAGCCATCAGCAGACTTGCCATGAAGTACTATTTTTTATACCTCAAAATAAGAGTTTGTTATTTCCTAATTGAGTCCAAATAAGGCTTTGTTGAGTTGGATTGAGTCTTGTAATCCACTTTTCTCTGTTTAGTATACTGGGATTGATGTTTCTTTAATGGATGATTTTTGTAGGAAACTAAGAAACCAACTCTAGCAGCCTCAAATTCACATGGATTGGAAGAATATTGTACAAGCATAGATGTGGATGGTTATGAGGAAACTTCTGATGTTCCGGTCCCAATGTTCGTGAAGCACACTGAAGCAATGATGAATGAAATTGATCAGATGGTATGTTCAACTAGTGACCTTGTTTTTATTGAAGTTGGTTTGTAGATATCTTGGTGGAGAACATCATTGAAGTTTTTAAATTATGTAGGTGGAGATTGAAATGGAAGATGTTGTTGAGGACCCTATTCTGGATATTGACAACAGTGATGTGAAAAATCCTCTTGCAGTTGTTGAGTACATTGATGATATCTATGCTTACTACAGAAAAACTGAGGTAAATTTGCATTAGCTATCAGCAGCATACTTGCTTTATGAAGGAAATTTAACCTGTTATTATCCCACTTATATAGTATTTTGTATGTTTAGACTTTAGACGATTGATCTACACAATGCTTTGTATGTTAAGACCCTCCATTGTTTTGATTTACCAAAAAAAATAAAAACTGGAATACTAATCTCAAGTGTGTCAATTAGTTGTTTTTGTTGGGTTTAATGGAGTTTTTGTTTTCAACTTATGGCGAATTGAAGATTTAATCTATCTTTTAATTTTATTTTCATACATATCCCTCAGCAACCAAACTTGGTAGCTCTTGAGTGATAAACAATTTATTTAGTTTTCAACTTATGGAAGTGAACATTTAATTGTTCTGCCATAAGAAGGAGATTGATAGACAATCTGTTTGAAATGTCAGGTGGATTGGATATTTAAAAAATTTATTTAGTAATCTAACAATCTGATAGTATTAATTGATGAGATGGTTCAGCAGTTAGAAAAGTGGTTTGAAGAGTATGGATAATAATAATTAGTATCTTCTGTTGAATATATTTGCCATCTGAATCTAGTCTTCTTGTGCAGAACTCTGGCTGTGTCTCTCCAAATTATATGGTGCATCAATTTGACATTAATGAGAAGATGAGAGCCATCCTCATCGACTGGCTTATCGAGGTATCTGATTTTGACCTTAGTTTAATTCTCTGAGGGGATACTTGTAGGGTCAATTTTCTTACGATTTTATAAAATGACATCATTTTATTTTAGCTAGATAAATTTGCAAATGGTGGATCCATATCCCTGTCATGTATTTATTCAAGCGGAATTGTTAATGCCATTAAAATGCTATATTGATTGGTATTTGAACCCAGTGAATGGATCACCAATTGGCTTGATTGAATTAACAGGTGCACTGCAAGTTTGAACTCATGGAGGAGACGTTGTTCCTCACTGTCAATCTTATTGACAGATTCTTAGAACGCCAAATGGTGGTCAGAAAGAAACTCCAATTAGTTGGTGTGACCGCAATGCTATTAGCATGCAAGTATGAGGAGGTATCAGTCCCATTTGTGGAGGAATTAGTTCATATATCAGATAAGGCTTATATGAGAGAAGAAGTTATTGAAATGGTACTTTCTTTGATGACTATCACTTCTTATATCCTTGGAACCTTTGAAAAGTTCTTTATTTATGCTGATCTTGATCTTCTTCTGTGATGCCCATAGGAGAAACTAATGGTGAATACACTACAATTCAACATGTCCGTTCCAACCCCATATGTTTTTATGAGGAGATTTCTCAAGGCAGCTCAATCCGACAAAACTGTTAGTACCAAATTAACTGCATTTTAGGTGAATGGTCTAAATCAGGAAAAAAATTAACAATATTGATTGATGATGGTATATATATATATTTTTTTATGAAATGACAGGTTGAGCTTCTGTCCTTCTTCATCATTGAACTCTGCCTGGTAGAGTATGAAATGCTACAGTACCCGCCATCTTTGCTTGCAGCAGCAGCAATTTACACTGCTCAGTGTAGTCTTTATAGGTCTAAGCAGTGGACTAAAACAAGTGAGTGGCACACCAATTACTCAGAAGACCAGCTTAGGTGGGTTATTACTACATTTCCTTTTTCCATGTTTCATTCTAGTTTCTTAGGAAATGATGAAAAAATCAGACAATACTTTTTTATTATGTGCTAACAGGGAATGCTCGAGACTAATGGTTAGGTTTCATCAGAAAGCTGGGACAGGGAAACTCACCGGAGTATACAAGAAGTACAATACATGTAAATTTGGTTATGCAGCGAAATCCGAACCTGCTCAGTTCCTCTAAGATTTGTAATTGTGTGGATGGATAAATGAAAAGTGAGACTCAGACGTTGTGATTTTGGTTATTTCTTTGTGTGCAACTGAGCAACACAAGTTGCCACCAGGAAGTTTAAGCATTTGAGAGCCTTGTAGCCCTACTACTACCTTGGTGGGTTTCTTTCGTTGCCAAAACTTTATTTTGAGCTTTGCTGTAAGTAGTTAGTTTTCAATTTTTGTAATTATTCTTCTATCTCAAATTTATTTCAATCAAATGTTATCTGTGGGTGACTTTAAATGTTTGAAATCTTTGTCTTGAAATGCAAATAGTTCGCGACAAAGAAGTATTGTCTAATATCAATAACTTTAATAGCATGCATTGTATTGTTCTCTATCTCCAAGCTGGTCTTGTACTCTCTAGCTAGAAGGTGTCGACTTGGATCCATGTTGAAGAAACATGGCACGGAAGACTTTGAAGTTAAATACCCGAAATTGTCAGATGTGGCAATTAAATTGGTTTGAACTTTGAAGTTAACCCTAATGCAGCTTAATTTTCCCTCAACAGTAGATATAAAACTAAATGACATTGCGTCCTGCAATGAATAGTTTCTACACACTGCATGGTAGGATTGAAAGGCGGGAATGCTGTATATTTCATCCAGCATGAACAAAGTGAGAGTACTGGGGGGAAACGTTATAGCTTTCACTCAAAATGAAAATGAAAGTTGCATACATATTTCAACTTTCAAGTTTCGTTAATTTCATCCAGTTACATGTAAATATTAAGGCCTAGAGAGGTGAGGATAGTGGAAACATGAAACATACAAAGAAGGGGGTTATTTTCTATTTTTGCATATTGAGGAGCAGGGGCGGAGTCAAGATTCAGAGGGGGGCCTAGGGGCGCCCCCCTAGGCCTTAATTGGCTCAGTCCCTTGAGGAGTATTGGAGCATTGGAGACTTTTCTGGAGTACCAATAACAAAACTATTTACTAAAAATTGGAAGTAAAAAAAGAAAAAGAAAAAGAGCACACATAGGTTTGGGACACTTTGTTTTTCCTGATCATGGGCCATGTATGTTAATTTTCTTACTTATTCATCATCATCACACTCTGATCATGGGTTTTTGAACTAATTATGCCCAAAAGTTTAGTGATAGCTTTGTAGCAAAGACGTTTTAACTAAGATTTGTCTTGTTGATTTACATATCCACTGATATGGTTGTTGGGCAAACAAAGCATAACATTGATTTAGGGGTTGATATACTGAAACCCCACCCTGATTTCTGGACACTATTACCCTGTCATTTACTTGTGGTAAGATTTTACCCCTATTAAAAATGCTTCAAATTGTCCCTTTGTATCTCAAATTGTCTAAAAACAGGATAAATTGAAGGGAGGAAAAAACAAAAAGGGGAAATTTTTTCAATTCCTTGTATACCTACTATGTAATACTGCGTGCCAATGAAAACTCTCTATTTTTCCTTGTATGCAGGTGCCCAAAACTCTCTAACAAAAAAGACAGGGCAGCTCAATATAGTTTGAGGCCTTAGGCGAAAAATATAAAAGTGGTTTTTTTAATATCTAATTAGAGTTGTAAAACTTAATGAAAAAAGGGAAAAAATATGTAAGAAATAAGAAAGAATATATATATATATATAAAAGCCTCTTGGCCACAGCGACGCCCATTCTTGTTTTTGACTTTTCTCTTCCGTCCGATTTCCGAATCAAGTGATTTTTGAGTCTAAATTCATTAATTTTTTGCTATCTATCTAATGGTATGCACGGTAGCACCCATAACTTTCTGAAAATTATAATTTTTCCCTTAGGGGCTAAACTTATCCGTTTTTAAAACTTTGTTTCTGCATTCTTGTTTTCTTTTAAGTTCCCTGGTTTCATGGAAGTAATGTTTGTGTCTTAGAGATGACATACATCTCTTAAGACCTTGTTTGCATGTAAAATGACCATTTTGCCCTTGGGGACATACTTGGTCTATTTTCACCTTGATTCGTTATTGGATTCGTTATTGGGTTAACTTTTGGGTCGCATTGATTATTCAGGTTTGTGAAAATTCGAAACGTCAGAAAAAAGAAAGAGGAGTTAAGAGAGAGAGAGAAGAGAAGAGGTAAGCTAAAAGATAGAAATCTTTTGGCCCCTATTAAATCTCTATTGATTACGGTTTAATAATAGATACAAATAAAATTTTTAAGGAGGCTATAATATAAGGAAATAAAAAATTTAGGGCATTTTTATTGGGTATAGGTTAGTAATAGAAGGAAATAACATTTTTAGGAAGGTTATAATATAAACCAAAAAAATTTCGAAAGTTATAAAATAAGGGAAAACAAATTTTGGGGCCATTTATATTGGTTGGAGTTTGATAATAGGAAGGAAATAAATTATTTATAAATGATATAATATAAAGAAAAAAAAAAAATTGAGACGTTTCTATTAGCTGGGCCTTAGACAACACCTAAATTGCCAAGGGTTCGGCCAGTCCTGGAAAAAGAAAAGGGAGAAGAATGGAAGGAGGAAGAGGGAAAGAGAAAAGGAAAAGGAAAAGGAAAAGAAAGTGACCTTTCTTCAAAACCTCTTTAGAGTGAAATGGAAGAAGAATGAAACATATTTATTCTTTTCATCAATAATTATTACTCTTTTTAATAAACTCAAATTAAGTAGTTGGTGATATGGTTACAAGTGAATTGATTTTTGACAACTTGAGTATGATTCAAATTCGATTAACATTGGATTTATTTTGAATTTGTGCTCCATTTGATAAAAGGGATGAAAAAATAAATTGAAAAGAAGACATATAATATCAAATGAAGTATTAGATATGAGAGCAGTTTGGAACAAAGTTGATATTTTTTTAGAATTTTTGTACCATAGGCCAGTTTAAAATGATTTTACTTTTAACTTTTCCAGTCTAATCCAGCCCGGTCAGGTTATACCTCACTTGTTATTAAACTTATTTTTGTAGAAAATTAGACAAATTTTTATACCTTGACGGTGCTACCTTTGGTGAAATTAAAACTAGTTCAAAAAAAGGTTCCCAACCAAACACTTGGCATACAACAAACAAGTTCCCCAAGCACCAGTGACCAAACGCAAGTTACGCAAGCGTCACTCATAACACGTTAACTTCGTATCCAAACGGAGTCCACCACCAGCCCAAAACACCAACGTCTGTTTCTGGGTAAACTCTTGAGAGCAAAAACGCAAGCACAAGAAGCTCAACCTCAGATCTCTTCGAACTGCAACTCTCATTCGCATCAAAGAGAGAAACTTTGCCCTAAAATGGCACTCAATCTTCGTCAGAGACAGACCGGTAATACTCCCTCACTATATCTCTCTAGATTTCTCTCTCTAAATGTGTGCATATATATATATATATATATATATATATATCGATGTTTCGATATAAAACTGTTGTGAATTTGATCTGAAATTTCTGTACAGAATGCATTACTCGATTGTTGAATATGAATCAACCGGTGAATTCAAGCGGAACAGCGAACGAAGAGGTGTACAAGATCTTGATCTACGATAGGTTTTGCCAAGACATTCTCTCTCCTCTGATCCATGTCAAGGACCTCCGAAAGCATGGTGTAACCCTGTATTTCCTCATTGATAAGGATCGAAAGCCCGTCCACGACGTCCCTGCCGTGTACTTCGTGCAAGCGACTCAACTCAACGTCCAACGGATCGTCGCCGACGCCTCTCGATCTCTCTACGATTCGTTCCACCTCAACTTCTCGTCGTCGATACCTCGGCCGCTTCTCGAAGATCTTGCATCCGGGACGCTCAATTCCGACGCGATTCATCGAATTTCGAAGGTACATGATCAGTACTTGGAGTTTGTAACCCTAGAGGATAATTTGTTTTCGCTTGCGAATAAATCTTGTTATGTTCAATTGAACGATCCCTCGGCTGGAGATCGTGAAATTGAGGAAATAATTGAGAAAATTGCGAGTGGGTTGTTCAGTGTGTTGGCTACACTTGCTGTTGTTCCGATTATTAGGTGCCCACGTGGTGGGCCGGCCGAGCTGGTGTCGGCTTTGCTTGATCAGAGGTTGCGAGACCATTTGTTGGCTAAGAATAATTTGTTTTCTGAAGGAGGGAATTTTACGAGTTCATTTCAGAGGCCGATTTTGTGTATATTTGATCGGAATTTTGAGTTAGCAGTTGCAATACAACATGATTTTAGGTATCGGCCACTTGTTCATGATGTGCTTGGTTTGAGGCTGAATAGGTTGAGTGTGCAAGGTGAAAAAGGTGGGATGAAATCGTATGAATTGGATAGATCTGACCCATTTTGGGTGGCAAATGGCTTGTTGGAATTTCCTGAAGTAGCTGTGGAGATTGAGACCCAATTGAATAAATATAAGAAGGATGTTGATGAGGTGAACAGGCGGACTGGTGGGAATGATGGGGCTGAATTTGATGGGACGGATTTGATTGGCAACACAAAGCATTTGATGAATGCAGTGAACTCGCTGCCTGAGTTGACTGAGCGGAAGCAGGTGATTGATAGGCACACTAATATTGCTACTGTGTTGTTGGGTGAGATTAAGGAGAGGTCTCTTGATTCTTATGCCAAAAAGGAGACTGACATGATGGTTAGAGGTGGCATTGATCGGAGTGAGCTTATTGGTGCACTCAAAGGAAAAGGGACTAAGATGGATAAGCTGCGATTTGCGATCATGTATCTTATTTCTACTGAAAGCCTTCCTCAGTCTGAAGTGGAAATGGTTGAAGCCGCTCTGAGGGAGTCTGAGGTTGATACTAGTGCGTTTCAGTATGTAAAAAAGATAAAGTCACTAAATGTTTCTTTTGCGTCGGCAAATTCTGCCAGCAGAGGCAACATTGTGGATTGGGCAGAGAAGCTCTATGGTCAGTCAATTAGTGCTGTGACTGCTGGTGTGAAGAATCTGTTGTCTAGTGATCATCAACTGGCATTGACAAGGACAGTTGAGGCCTTGATGGATGGGAGACAGAATACTGAAATTGACCCTTACCTTATGTTTGATCCTCGTGCTCCTAAGTCAAGCTCTGGGTCAAGTAGCAGCAAAGGACCATTTAAAGAAGCTATTGTATTTATGATTGGTGGTGGGAATTATGTGGAATATGGGAGCTTGCAAGAGCTTGCACAGCGTCAGCAGCCAGTTAAACATGTTGTATATGGAACGACAGAAATTCTCACTGGAGGCGAGTTTGTTGACCAGCTTGCACTGCTAGGGCAGAAGATGGGATTAGGCAACAGTGTTGCTGCTTCAGCCCAATAAAACTGATGTATCTTTTGTCTGCTTTCTGAAGCATACTTTTTGGTGATTTATGTATGGAGAAGGCTGTGATCTTCAACGAGTCCATGTGAGTGAGTAAATTCTATACCTGAAGCTGCTAATCTGGGAAGTAATGGGGAGGTTTAGCTATGCCTTCTCTTTTTTATTTTGATCCCCAATGATGGTTTTCAATTGTGATGCATACAGAAGAACCAAGTGAGTAGATTTCTTTTCTTTTTTTATAAGTCGATGCGAGTAGATTTCTTCCATGTTTTCACTGTATTTGAAAATCTTAGAATCAAATATTCAAGTCATTCCCTTATTTATATACAAGCTTATATTTGGAATTTAAATACTAAGATAATACGGTCATGTGAATGAAAACCTATAATTGCACTAGTGAGGAAAGACTGAGACTGCCACTTTGAAAGACTGTTTGGAGGGAGTGGAAGACCAAAATTAACATGAGTTGAGATGGTAACCAAAGATATAATAACTGAAGTTATAGATTTTAGCATAGCATGTATGTAGGCAATCCCAAAGAGTTGGGAAAAGACTTTGTTATGTACATTTAGGACATGGTCCACATTGAAAAACATGTTAATAGGGTGTGGAAGACCAAATTTAACATTGAGTTTAGCCTTTAGATAGAAAGAAGATATTGTAGTATGCGTGCTTTTACTGAAGTTATAGACTAGCAAAGATTGTACATCCAATTCCAAATTGTTGGGAAAAGACTTTGGTACCTATATTTGGGATATCAATTGACTTCAATTATATCAGTCATTCCACCTGCATATGTTGATTTCAGAGATTGCTGGAGTAAGAACTAGGACAGTAATAACAAGTAGTGTAATTTACAAAAGAAATTATTTTCATTTATAATTTTTGAAGTTTGAGATCTTATATAGTTGTTGCTTCCAGATTGCTGATGGTTTGCTAATACTGCCTTTTCACCTGTTGAAAGTAACTAAGATAGAAGCTCTTTATTATTATTAATTTTTTTTTCAACTTGAGACGAATTAAAATAAGATCAACCGAATGAGTAATCGATTTACAGCAACTTGGTTCGGCTACAAGAAACTCTTATGGTAGTTAGGCTTTATGCAATTTGCTCAACATCGTCTTAATTTTCAACTACTGGGGATGGTTACATGATATAGGATTCATGTTCTTAAAGGTTTGGAGTATAGTGTTTATTATTATTATTTTTGGCTATATAGCATGTACAAACTGTCTCCTTTGGATAACACTATAAAATATATGACACCAAATACATTTTTATTTTTCTTTTCTGAGTAGGTTAGAGATAAACACCAAATTTCATACAGAGGAATAGTTCTCAAGGCATGAATTTGCACATGCAAACATGTTTTGTTAACCGTTAACCATATCCTACATTGACATTAGTGTGCATGAATTTGCAGATGCGTGCCTTACTTTTGGTGCTGGTTTCTGCATGAGCTGCATAGCCTACCATTTTTAGTGCGTGTGGTTCTTCCTCTATTCTTATGCTGTAAATTGTTGGAAATCTATCTTCTCGGATGTCCCCCATTTACTGTTTTCGCTTTCAATTAAACTCTCAAAGCGTCGATGTTTAAAAATATAAACTTTATGCCTATTGATTTAATATAGGGGATATTACCCATATGCGTGCTAGTGAAGTGATCGTAAGCAAACACACAGAATTTGTTTTTCCCATTTCATTGGCAAGCATGGTTGTAAAGTTTGCCTTTTTACTGCTACTTGAGAACAATTGGCTGTTTACCTCCTTCATTTGGGCTTTTTGATTATTTTTGTGGATTTTTAAGCTCAATGCGGTGAATATCATTACATGATTAGTCGGTGATTTTGCGAAAGATGGAATCCTCATGGCATGCTTGTTTTTACCTTAACAAGACCTTTTACAATCGAGACCGAAGCAAGACAGCTCGATTCGTCCATCCACTAGTTCATCACCATCATTGCCTTAAAAACGTAATGTTATTTAAATCAAAAGGCTGAGGTCTCGTTTGATATAAATTACTCGTAAATAACAATCTAATTATGTGCATCTTCAAGGGAAACACAATGTAATCTGGATATTACTTGATTTTTTTATTTATATTTTATTTTTTTAAAAAATTTTGGTAAGAAACTCGTACATCTACTTTTCCTCCTGTGATAATTTGAACCATCAACCTTCAAAATTTTTGAATGGGGATGAGCAGAGCCGGAAAATAATTTGAGAGGGGCGACCTTGAGCCTGAGAATCGAAAAAAATTTAGCATTTCAAGTTGCACAAAGCACTGAAAAAGAGGATAACAAGAAAACAGAACTCTTTATCACTGCTTTAATCTCCCAAAAAAATAAAAAATAGAAAAATAGAAAAATCTCTGATTTAAAAAACTGTGTGCGCAATTCTGTAGAAGGGTTCTGTCAAAAATTTAGTTGGGGTAGCGGCTCCCACTGGGCCCGTCTAACTCTGATTACAAGTCTACAACTTTTGGTGTTGAAATCCTCCTACGTAATAAGTTATTTCAAAATGGTGAAAAAAAAAAGAAGTTATTTCAATGGATGAACATTGAAATAATGGAGATTTTATACCATTAAATACTTAAAATTGAGACAAGCAGAAAAAGTTCTCAATTCACGTTTTAACATTTCACTTCTATTGAAAACACAAACCTGCTAAACAATATGAGAGAAAAATAATAATAATTCAAGTAGGTACAAATAAGGGCGGAGTTAGAATTTTATTTCAGAGGGGATACAGTTTAAAAAAAAAAAAAAAAAGCATTCAACTAACACTGATATAGCATGCAAAAAGAAGAATTTTAAGAAGAAAAAAGGAAATAAAATTGAGATATGTTTGAAAGGAAAAAATTAGAGTATGATTCTCCCAAAAAAAAAAAAAAGATGACTTTTTTTTTAAGAAATTTAAAGAATAAAGTTTAGAAAAAGTTAAGATAATTTTAGAAATAAAAAATTTAGGAGGGCACACTATATATAAATTTTCATATATATTAAAAAAAATTATAAATTAACTATATAAATTTTATTGGGCGGGCCAGGTCAGAGGGCACGTGCCCTCGGCCTTAATTGGCTCCTGGGTACAAATAAACTGTACCATACGATGTTTTTTTCTCTATCAATTACTTTTTTTATTCTTTTCTTTTCTTTTCTTTTATTTATTTTTATTTATTTTTATTTTTATTTTTTGACTCATTTGTGTATGGGCTTAGCTCGGGCTTGACTACTCTGTTGAAAGGTTGAGCTTGGTTCCATAATATGTTTAAAAGTTTTGGGCTTAACCCATTTAACAAAAAAAGTCTTTTTGGGCTCGATTTAAGTTTGTATTCAAACACCGTTTTAATTTGTTCCTAAACTTATCCAAGCTACACAAGCCAACATTTATGAACATAAACAAAATTCTATGATTGTGAATGTGTTCTTCAACCTATACGAGTCTAAGTTCACGAGAATGTACGTGAGTCTATGTTTACAAGTATATGCGAGTTGAGTTCAATGTTATTTACGATCGACTCATTTATCAAATAAGTTTAGAAATAAAATTCGAGTTCGACCCGTTTACTTAACTAACGAACCTTAAACGAATCATGAACACCTCAGTTGGTATATATAAAAAATTAAAAGGAAAGTAACAAAAAGGAAACGGAGCAATGTTGGTTTGGAATTGTGTCAATCGCTTAAAAATACTTTTTATTATTATTTAATAATTAAACAAAAAATACTTTTGAATGCTTTTATTTTTATTTTTTTATCCCACTGTAGCGCTTCTGATTGAAATTAAAATTTCTAACTTTTGTAATGAGTAGAAATTCTATATTTTAAGTAATTGTTTTTGTTGATAAATTTATACTCCAATATAATTTTTTATTTATTTATAAACAAACAATTGGACGGGCATTCCGCCTAAAGTTGTGAATTGGATCGTGCGAGAGGCGCAGCTCGAGGACCGTCAATTTATTGAAACCACACTCAAAAGGAGATTAATACCAACCAAAATAAAAAATACTTTAATAATAAAAAAAAATTTATATAATTGATTTTAAACTCCTGACATGTTTTTTATTCACAAACGGGCCCTTATAGTCATTTGGATTATTGGAGGACTTAACAAAAAGTACAAAACAGAATGTTCTGAACCTTATAAGTATTTAGTTTCCTTCTGCTTCTGCTTCTGTCTCCTCCACCTTTTTAGCTCTTTCATGGCGTCTCTACAACTCTCCACCTCGCTATTCATTTCTTGAACAAGAAAACAACCAATTCAAACCCTAATCTCATCCTTTAAAACCCCCAGTATATCGTCAATATCAATGGCCAAACGAACCCTACCGCTCCTAAAAGACCTATGTGCTCGATCAAACCCTGATCCTCACCCTCTCCGATTGCTAGGGTTGAGATCCGTGACCTACATGCCCCGACCCGGAGACGGCACTCCGAGGGCCGTGACCCTAATACCCGGCGACGGAATCGGACCCCTCGTCACCGGCGCAGTCGAGCAGGTCATGGAGGCGATGCACGCGCCGGTGTACTTCGAACGGTACGACGTGCACGGCGACATGAAGAGCGTGCCACCGGAGGTGATCGAATCGATTCGGAAGAACCAGGTGTGCTTGAAGGGAGGGTTGATGACTCCGGTGGGTGGTGGTGTGAGTTCGCTGAATGTTCAGCTCAGGAAGGAGCTCGATCTCTACGCTTCGCTTGTGAATTGCTTGACTCTGCCGGGTTTGATGACGCGGCACGAGATGGTTGACATTGTCGTCATAAGGGAGAATACTGAAGGGGAGTACTCCGGCCTAGAGCACGAGGTCGCTACTGGTGTTGTTGAAAACATGAAGGTATTGTCTATTGTTGTTTCTTGATTGAAATGAAGTTTGGTTTTTATTCTATTTTATGAATTTACATAGTATATTGATCTTCAGGGACACTCTGTTACACTGTTTTGTTATGTTTTGATTAGAGTAATTTAAATAAGAATTGAAATTTAATGCTAATTTATTTGAGTGTAGAAGGCTGTGAAGCATAAGTCTAAATTACAAGTCATACCATGTTGATAAATTCTAAAGGTTTGTTACGAATTGGGTTTGATGCTTTTCAATTGATTTAATTGGCAAAATTATGTAGACAAATATCTTAGAAAGCTACCTACTACCCGTTTCATAGTACAAGCAGAGGATTGGGAAGAAGAAAAAGAAGCCTCTATGAGAACTATAATTCCGTAAAATAAATGATTTTTTTTCCTTAACCTGGAGGGACCAATCTCCAAATAGGATACACTCTAAAGCCAGGACCGCTTGTCTACATGATCATAAGCCTACTCAATATCAAACTAGCCCCAGAACTGACTTATTTTATGTTTTTTTCTTGATTTCATGTGTCTCAAAACAATTGTTCTTTATTATGCCTGCATAATGCTTTTATTTTATTTTTAATTTTTTCTTTTGTTGACAGACGTTGTTTTGAATTTGGAGAGACAGGCTATATTACAATAACATGTATTTGGAGAGACAGGCTATATTACAATAACATGATATAGTACGTCTTAGACTTCATTTATGCTCATGCCATATCTATGTGTAGCTCGTATTTGCTTCTGAAAGCAATGGGTTGGTTCTTTTATTGACTGAACTCTGTACTTAGTATCTATGCTTGATGCATCCAGATCACCTTTTTGGTCTTGCCGAGTTACTGTTCCTTGGATATATTTGAACCATCAAATATTACAGAGACTACTTCCATTTTCTTGTCTTATTTTCCTCCACTTTTCCCTTTGTTTCTGAGAGTCTGGAGATATGCCTATTTCTCATCCAACCGTTTTGCTAGGTGATAACAAAGTTCTGCTCAGAACGTATTGCAAGATATGCCTTTGAGTATGCCTACCTCAACAACAGAAAGAAAGTAACAGCTGTGCATAAAGCCAACATTATGAAACTTGCAGATGGCCTGTTTTTAGAATCTTGTCGGGAGGTTGCAAGCCATTATCCCAGTATCAACTACAATGAGATTATTGTGGACAACTGCTGCATGCAACTTGTTTCAAAGCCAGAGCAATTTGATGTTATGGTATGTGACTATGATCCAAAGTGTCTCAGCTTATGTGTAGCACATTATGTTATGTTAATTTGAAATGATAAGGTTAATTTAGAATGTCTTAGGAAAATTGGGCTTCATGGAAGGAACCATCTCTTATTGTAGGTAAAAATGTTGTTTTTGTATAAATGTTTTTGGAACTCCTAATTAACTCTAGGTCAAACAACAGTGTTCTACCCAATATTTCTCATAATTACAAGGACTTTCCTCCTGCTTCTAAAAATGACACCTCCTTTGATGTTTATATGTTGGTAAAAGTTCATCCTTTATTAATGCTCAACATTTGTTAGCTGCAAAATTTGTTGATATAAGTGAATATACATTTCAAAGTACCAGTTTGCTCCAACAAGTGCTGGTCAACTAAGATATTAATGTGTGTTTGTATATATAGTTGAGGACCTTGAGTTGAAAATAGTAATATAACAAGCTTGAAATGATATAAACAGCCTAAGATATGGTGAAAACAAATCTACAAATGATAAATCATATTAGATCACAGAAATAATATAAGCTCCATTATTCCAGTTTTTCTTGGAGAACAGTCATCTTGATTTAGCTTGTTGAACTGAAGGTTTCTCAATTCATGTCATCTCTTTTGGTATGAAACAGGGTTGATAGATCTGCCCCTTTTGGATGTCTATTAATATTAATTTTGTAACACAATACCTCAATTTTTTTTGGGAGTTCGTATTGGGTTCGATTGGGGAGTTTATTAAACTTTGGATATTAATTGATCATCTTTGGATGCATAAAACTATATATTTTTTTTGGAAGGAGAAGAAAAAACTATTTTTTTCTTCTGCATAATGCTCCCATTTTTTTGTGCTTTAAAACAAATAGTCATGTTATCTATACTTGTGCCCACTTTTCAGGGACTTAATAATATATTGAGCCCTGCCATAATTCCAAAGTATCTAAGTAAGATGTATCAATGGTATATCCAAGTGCATTCCGAATGTATTGGGAAACTAAAATATATATTTTAATAATTTCCTAACACGTATAGGGCGTATCCAACCATACCATATCCATACCATATCCAATACATATTGGATGCTGCCATGTTGCTGTGGCAGTCTATGAAGAATATCTGTGCTTCATAGTGTGTTATATCATATTTGTGCTTTATGGTATGTTATCTCTTATATATGTCAGTAGGCTAACCATATTATTACTACCATTACTCTTACTACAAGTTTTAAGTGAAAAGTTGATATTTCAAACCCTGAAGGCAACAATTTATGTTCTTGGTTTCCAATAAAGACCTTGATTCAGGATGTTTTAGATTGAGTTACGTCTATTTAGATTGGAGATAAGAGGGTGAGAATATATCTGATCTTATGGCTGATTTACTGGTATCCCTATATGAGGGCATTGAGATCTCCTGTTTGACTTTGTTTTAAACGTAGACATTTTTTAGTGGGTCAATGTGGTAGAATTTTTTTAAAATTTTACCATTTTATTAATGACATTGTATTAACTGCACATAACCAAATAATTTGGCAGACTCTGGTACATAGAGTATTTGGGAGTGTCATACAGTTCCATTTACAAAAAAGGGCAGCTCAGTGCACAAGGCTCCCACCAATGCAGGGTTTGCGGAGGGTCAAATAAATGCAGCCTTTCCTCCCGAGGCTGTTTTCAGTTTCAAACAAGCAACCTCCAATGTCATATCGGTTCATTTAGTCTAATAAATGTTTCTTTGTAATTCAGCATACTATTAAGATATTTTCACACTTGTCTTTTCTTGCTTTATTTATTTATTTATAAGTATTAATTAATTAATTATTTAAAGGCCACAAGCAACACATGCCCTACCACTGGGCTATCACACCACATCAAACTCTTTATACTTTTAATAACATAATATTGTATTAAAATTAATATTCAATAAATTAATTAAATAATTATTTACATTTAACTTAATGATGGAGTGGGGATTTGAACTTAGGCCTTTGGCCACAAGGAACACATGCCCTACCACTGGGCTATCACACCACATCCAACACTTGTCTTTTCTTGCTTACCCCATCTTTTTACTAGCAGTTGATGAAAGATGATTTATGTTTTGTAGGTGACTCCTAATCTTTATGGCAATTTAGTAGCAAACACAGCAGCTGGTATTGCTGGAGGCACCGGTGTCATGCCAGGAGGTACCTTTAATTAATCAACGAATTCTTCTTGTTCTCTAAATTTTTCTTTGACTGACCACAATTGAGTTGCAATTTGTTATGAGGACATGGGATCAAATTATTTTGCCTTCAAAATGTTTGCACTTTGTGGCATGGTTTTGATCGAAGAGTTTGTTATATTCATTACTTTCAAAAGCCTGATCAGGTTTTTGTTGACTACAGGCAATGTGGGGGCTGATCATGCCATTTTTGAGCAAGGTGCCTCGGCAGGAAATGTTGGAAATGACAAGTTGGTGGAGGAGAAGAAGGCTAATCCGGTGGCATTGCTTCTCTCGTCCGCCATGATGCTGAAACATCTTCAGTTTCCTTCTTTTTCTGATCGGTTGGAGACTGCTGTGAAGCGAGTAATCTTGGAGGGCAGGTACAGGACGAAAGATCTTGGTGGAGACAGCAGCACACAAGAGGTGGTTGATGCTGTCATTGCTAATCTAGACTCATAGTAGAAAATCACCACCTGATCCTTGGCTAACCTTTGAAACTACCATTCTTGCCACAGATTCTTACCCAGTCATTCTTTTATTGATTTTGTTCCTTCCTTCCTATATCATTGGTCTTTTAAACTGCATTTTGAAGAATGTGGTTTATTTTTCTGCATAGTCTCAATTTACAATAAGAAGGAAATTTTCGCATTCAAACTTGTTACAACCGTGTAATTGGTAGATTTTTACCCTTTTCAAATGCAGGTCTTCTATTTTATGCTATATTTAATAACTTTCTTTGTATGAGACAAAATTTTAATTTCTGGCTATTGAAATAATGAAGAATATATTTGTCACACAACTTGCACGCCCACAAAGGCAATTTTTTTTTTTCTTTTTCTTTTTCTTTTCTATTATATATATATATATATATATCATTCAAAGTTGGCTAATGGGCTCCCTAACATCTTCTATTCATACGATGACTCAAGTAACGTAGGATTAGAATACCAAAAAGAGGCTAGTGATTGCTTTGCGGTATAATTTTGATCGAACCAATTGGGCTTTAAAGTCCTTATGGTTGGCGGAATTGGCCGCAACCTATTCGTTGACTAATTATTATACGGAATTGGTCGCAACCTATTCGTTGACTAATTATTTTAGCATTCAGAAAATAATAATTAAAAAAATATAATAATTTAGATCTTTAAAACCTGTTAAATCGAAAACCAAGTGGGGGATATATACGTGGTCAAATTTAACCCCTGCCAATAATACACATCAGGTAAAAAATACAATTTTCATAATTCGTTCACAATAAGATAACCTTGGGCGTTAGACGAATCCTACCTGTCAATTTTGGTGTGCTTGAACTCTAATATGTTTTAACTTTTTGTCAACGTTTGCAACTTGTGTCCCTACTATATATATTTTTATTGCTTCTATATAAATAATGTAGTATTTAATAAACTGTGGGATTAGTGAATTCCTGTTCGTTTACTTTATTTTTTATTAATTTTTTTTTTTGTTTTTTGTTATACTATCCTTCTCATATAAAAATGGCAACATGCAAGGTACTGGAAACTATTTAATACTGTAATTATAGTGTTGGACTTGGTGTAATATATCAGTGAAGATCTTCAACTTCAGAGAGAGAGAGAGAGAGAGATTAGCCAATGCAATTTCCTTCTTGTTACAGAAAGAAAGAGTAGGGATTAATTAATATGTGGTCAGTTGGGTTGTGTGTTGTAGTAGGAATAGTTAGCATATTGATTAGTCGTTGGGTTCACAAGTGGAGGAACCCCAAATGCAATGGAGTTCTGCCTCCTGGTTCCATGGGATTCCCTCTCATCGGAGAGACCCTTCACTTAATCATTCCCAGTCGCTCTTTAGATCTCCATCCATTCATCAAGAACAGAATTCAAAGGTAATTAAAAAACTTCTTTGTCTTTCTCCCTTATATATCTGTATCACTATATCTTTTGTTTGAGTTTGCCTTTATATCTAAGACCCTGCAATCACATGTACATATTTATTATAGACAACAATAACAATTCCTTGGAGTTTCTTAGCTCGAATTATTTTTTTCTTTTCTTCTTTTTTTATTTATTTTTAAATTTTTTATTAAAAAAATATGTAATATTAGTATGACTTTTGGTATTTTAAATTATTACCAATATTTTTCCCACGGATTAGGTTACTAGGGGATTAAAAAAAAAAAAAAAATTATAATGATCTCTCATGAAGTTTGGTCTAATTGCAAGTAAATTTGAGGTTTGTATTTTTTAATTTTTCATCATGTCGTCTCGAGGTTTGTCCGATTTTGCAAACACCTCCCTCTAGGGGTGGAATTAGAAATTTTTGGTTTGGGGGCCATATTTGTAATATGTAACTAAAGTTAGAAAATTTTATAAATCAATTGTAATATAATTCTGTTTAAATACAAGTCATACTATATAATATACTTTGAGAAAATTCAAAAATGAGAAATACAACTTAATAGTTTACGAAAAACTGATATTCAAAAGAAAAATGTAGAGAAAAACGATGAACTGCAATTAAAAAGAGAAGAGGTAAAGAAATAAGCATTGTTAGAGAATCAATTTTCCTTCATCAATTGTTTTCGTTTTTCAAAATTCTAATTTTTGAAGAAAAAATTCTGAGTAGTTTGATTTCACTTGGAAAAGATATACCTAAATGCAAGTTAGAAAAAAATAATGAATTTTAACCAAAATTTTTTTTTTAAATTAAACAAGATACCAATAAAGATTGTTATATAATTCCTTCTTCTTCTTCTTCTTCTTCTTTTATTTATTTATTTATTTTTTGTAAATACAATTTTAGAAAAATGTTAGATAAAAAAATCTTCATACATTTTTATTAAACATGAGAGAACATTGGTGATTTTTATCATTTTTTCTCTTGAATTAATATTATAGATATGGTACATGTGTATAAGTAAATATAATAACTATGTGTTATGATAAATACTATAATAATAATGAGTTTAGAATTTTGTTTTACAATATTTGTGCTTTTAGAAGTATGGTTAAAAGGAATAAAGTTGAAATTTTTTTATATTTTAAGACGACACATATTAAAATTATTTTCAAACTCTCTATTTTGGAGTCAATTTTCAAACTCTTTATTTTGGATCATCCTATAAGTGTTTTGAAAAAAATGGCAGGCCAATTGAAATTTTAAAAGAAATTTAGGGACAACATCTACAAATTAATTAATATTTATGAGTTATTAATAAAAATTTTAAAAAAGTTCGGCGGCATGGCTAACCAGTCACCCGCACCCCTAGCTCCGCCCTGCTCCCCTCGTACAAAATGCAGTACATTTGGTCAGAAAATTGATTTGAAAGGGCCAAAATGCCCTTCAACTAAGTAAAAAGACCATATTACCCTTATAATCCCCTCAAATTACAAAAAAAAAAAGAAAAAAAAAAAAGGGTTTTAAGAGACAAAAATACCCTTATTCTCTTCTCATCCAGGAAAATATGTATATTTCTGCTGAACCATATTAAATATTATCTCGTGTTGTATGTGTATGTGTTAATTACTTGTGCTTGTGATTCTTCGCGCTGGCACAACAAGCAGTATCAGGGTTTGGTGCATGATATATAATATGTGTGTATATATATATTTCCCTCTAGATATGGAACGATTTTTCGAACAAGCGTGGCAGGCCGACCTGTTGTGATATCAGCTGACCCAAAAATAAACCATTTCATCATTATGGAAGAAGGGAAGTCAGTGGAGCTATGGTACCTGGACACATTCTCAAAGATTTTCGAGCACGACACCGAGGCCAAGGTAAATGCTGTAGGCGCTATACAGAAGTACATAAGAAGTTTAGCTTTTGCATCATTTTGGCGTTGAGAGCATCAAGGAAAAGTTGATACCACTAATAGAACAAGTGGTTGACAAAACTCTCCACACTTGGTCTAGCCAGCAGTCCATTGAAGTGAAAAGTGCCTCTTCAAAGGTAAAATTTCCAAGCTCACTTTAGTCCTAGCATGTCACAACCTTTTTTTTTTTGTATGAGAAATCCTGTCATATTGTTATGATTGATAACAAAACTACATTTGCTATTCCAGATGATTTTCAAATTTACCTTAAAGCAGATGTTTGGTATTAATTCCGAAGAATCATCAGAGATTTTAAGTGAGAAGTTTTCTAACTTTTTAAAAGGTCTTATGTCCTTTCCTTTGAACATCCCCGGAACCACATTCCACAGATGTCTAAAGGTAAATTGATGAGATTTAATCGCCCTAAAATTTGTTTCGAATGATTTGAGATATATATATATATATATATATATATATATAGTTGTCAATTTTTAAGTTTAATACTCCTCATTCAGGACCACAAGGAGGTAATGAGGATGCTGAAGGATATCGTAAAGGAGAGACTTGCTTCCCCGGAGGCAAGCCGAGGAGACTTCCTTGATCAAGCCATCCAAGACATGAAGACGGAGAAGTTCTTGACAGATGATTTCATAGTCCAAATAATGTTTGGAATTTTATTTGCCAACTTGGAGACTGTAACAACCCACTCTACCACATGGTATGATATTGTCCGCTTTGGGCCTGAGCCCGCACGGTTTTGACAATTTCGTCGGTTCTAATATTAACTTTTAGGTTGCTCTCGGAACATCCTTTGGTGCATGAGGAGCTGACTGTGAGTGCCACCAACAATTTAACAAGCTTTCAATTTCGTAGCAGTAGTAATTTCGTTTTTACATGGTTGTAACATTGGAGGTCATTTTTACCAGGCAGAACAAGAGGCTATACTTAGAAACAGAGAGAATTTGGATTCCCCACTCACATGGGATGAATACAAATCAATGACTTTCACACTTCAAGTCAGTTCTAATATTGTCTCAACTTCTTTAATTTACAACCAAAAAAAAAAAAAAATGACCGTGTCTTCCCAATGTGCTGGTTTGTGGATATCACAGGTTATCAATGAAGTTCTGAGGTTGAGAAACGTCGCTCCAGGGTTGTTAAGAAGAGCAACAAAAGATATCAAAGTCAATGGTATATATAATCACCATAATATATATACTAACTCAATATCTTTAGTTCTGATTGTAATTTTTAAACATATAGTTAAAGTCGTAAAAATTTGTTAAAACTTCTTCGTTAGGATATACAATCCCGGCTGGGTGGAACATTATGGTTGTCACTTCTGCACTACAATTAGACCCCAACAACTTCAAGGATCCAGTTGAATTTAATCCATGGCGTTGGAAGGTTCGTACGTTTGTAATTTGATCATTAGCTACTTACAATTTGTGGGCATGTTTAGTGGCTTTGATCATTGAAACCTTAGACAGCTGATCTTTTTTTCATTAATGAAAATATATGATTGTACATAGCCCCTGCATGTGTGCATGGGTTAGCACTTGGCACTGTTCAATTCGTCCTATTATGTATGTATTCTATATATATATATATATTATAGGCAGTTATATACATACATTAATGTCATTGTGGTTTTGGTTCTTCAGCTTGACTGGCATGATTCGTCTTTGCCTGCGCAAAAGGATGAGAATACCACTTGCTTGGTTGTCAATTTGTGAATATTGTCAATTCTTTGCCAAAATTTTTCCACAAAGCGCAATCAATTTATTGCCAAACCTTAACCAAATTACATTAATTTCATTAATTTTCATTAATGAAAATATAGGATCTTGACTCAAACCTTAGGCTTTGATCATTGAAACCTTACAATTTGTGGGCATGTTTAGGATTTGTTTTTCAATCAAATCATGGGTTTATCTGGTCTTTTGGTATAAAACCTTTTGAAAGCACTAATTTATGGAGCATAACTTTATTGAATGCACCCGTAT